CTCCAAAAAAAAAAAAAAAATAACATAAACTTGTTACTCAATAGATAAGCATTTAATAGCTACACAGAAACAGAAAGTTTATGTGGGAGGGATCAGCATATTTAAACTGCATTCAGCTCAGTGATGATGAGTTTAGGAACCTGCATTCTGAGACTGTTCAGGAATCTGCAGGATAGTTTGGCAAAGCCCTCCCTGGCCAGGAGGAGTAATCCATTTATACGCACAAGTGGCTCCAGGAGGTCTTGCCCACCCTGGTCCTATTAGGGACTCAAATTCATAGTTTTATAAACTCAATTTTGTCAGTGTGCCTAGAGTTGACAAAAGTGATGACTGATATAGGTTAATCAAATTCACAAGAAACTGTACTATCAACTAGAATGCAGTGTATTTATAGGTTTGTGATGAACCTATAAATTCCTTTCCAGGAAGAACAGTATGTATGTTCTCTATCTGGAGCGCTCTCTCCCCAGTGTCAGGGTGACTGGGAAGGCAAATTAAGAATTAAAGGCTTAGATGTGTGAAATTAGGCCAAAACAAATTTTGAGAAATGCTACTCTAGGCCAAATTGACTTTCTCTGTTACCTTAATTACTAGATGTTGGTTTCTAAATGCTTGAATTGTCAGAGGGCAACTTAGTTTCCAAATTTCAGAGGTGAAGGAAGAGGGGAAACCTCACTGTAGGAAGAAATTGAGTTTTCTCACCTAGAGGTAAGAACACAACTGAAAAGCAAAAAAATCAGACGGGGCAATGTCAGTAGGTCTAGAAGATGATAATCAATGATACTGGTTTTGTAGGTAAACTGGCACCCACTGTCACTGCGAAGTGTGTGACCCTAGTTTCCAGTCTCTTTCCACTAATTTATGTAGTCCTAAAAAGCACTGTTCCCATCACATGACTCTGCTACTTTAAAACAAAACAAAACAAAACAAAAAAAAATCCCTCAATGGATCCTGTACCAAATTAAGCTGACTCTGCTTTGGCTCAAGTCCCTCCATGCCCACTGTATCTTATTTATCTGCAAGCTTTTTTCTCATGACTTCTGTATTCCTAACAATTACCTCTTTTACGTTCCTTGAACCATGCCATACAGAATGCTTAACAAAGGCCGTATCTTTCTCCTCCGAGGCCTTCAACACTCTGTGCCTCCCACGGCACTTAGCAACCCCTGCCTAACTAGTTAGTAGTAAGTAGTCTTAGTCCCTCACTTTCTACTTCAGTGGGTATGTTTTCTGAAGGATGCCCAGCAGGGTGTCAACGTCTCCTACTTCACTAACAGTTAACAATTGCTGATTTGAAAAGGAATGTAGAGAAAGCATTGGGTGTGGCTACCTTGCAGAGACCGAACTCATCCATTTCATCTGGGGGGATGCCATAGTTGCCGATCAGAGGATAGGTGAGCACTAAGATCTGTGCTTTGTAGGAGGGATCAGTAAGGGCCTCGGGGTAGCCGACCATGCCGGTTTGAAACACTGCAAGAAAGAAGCTGGGCTGGGCTCCGGCAGGCCACCCTTAGGAACTCCCCGAGCGATGAGCACGCCCCAGTGGAGGCTGCCTTGGTGGCGAGAGGTGGACACGCTGGGGCCCGTGGGCACCGAATGCGGGGGAGGGGGTGTGCTGGCTGGAAAATGGCGGGGTCTGGATGGGGAAGGTTGGGCGGAGAAGCGCATCACAGAGTGGGATAAGGTCTGCAGCCTACCCGGGCTTGCTTACCCACTTCCCCGGCAGTCGACACGGCGGCCCCAAAGGGCTGGCCCCGCAGGACCGACCCGTCCTCCAACACTAGGGCCGCCATGGGAAGGGAGCTCAGAGGCGGGGACGAGTACGGAGAAGCGTGAAGGACTGCAAACTCCACTGGAACCACGTGAGGATGGCGCGCCGGAGTCGGTCCACGTGGCTAACGGCGCGGGGCGCTGGAGAGAAGGCGGGCGCGGCAGGCGCAGGAGCCTCGAACGCGCCTGGTGGCGGCAGAGACGCAGCCGGCGCGAACACCGGCAGCGTGAGGGGCGGGGCTGGGCACGTAAGGGGCGGGGCTCCCGGAGCCACTGGGAATGAGCCCTCGTAGTACCGCACTGCAAAACCAGGAGGAAACCTGAAAAAAATCGGCTGCCTTAAAGCAGTCTCTCCCACCCAAAGCTAGAAACACCTAAAGGCAGGACGCTTTTACTTAAAAAGAAAGACAGAAAGAAAAAAAAGTGTTTATTATAGGCAACAACACAAATGGGAACTGGTACTTGTCTACACCACGGGAGTGCAATTTTTCAACTTCCAATGGCGACCTCAATCTTGATGCAAATCCACTGACCAAAGATGCCTGTCTAGGAAGCAGAGCTCCATGGATGGGCTAAGATAGATGAGATTGATCTTAGGTCAATGGTAAGACCTATGTGGTTCATGAAGTCTTGGCTTTTCGGCGCTGGGTTCCCCAAAGCAGAATGGAGATGGATAGAGTGGTGGATCCCAGAATCCCGAAGAACATAAGCAATGAGAACGAACCCTGTGAATAACAGACCAAAACATATCCCATACAACGTTACACAGAGGGCGACATCCTAACACCTAGTTCATCCCCAATGTATATCACCTCGTCTAGGCCAATTCTATAGTTTTCGCCCTAGAGGTAATTTGTATTAGCTCCTGGTCTGTGGCTCTCCTTTCTGAGAGGTGTTGCTCTATGCATTCCTTGTATCCTAGTTAGAAGGCCTAATTCCTCACCTGGCGCATACACTTATATCCGTGGAAACCATCAGCACAAACACACTGCAAAAAACCTGGACCATCAGGTACACAAGATCCATTCTCAGGACACATTTCTGGGGACCGGAGAGAAATAGAGAACATCACTGCATCCATCTCATTAGGCATATTTCTCAATTATCTGTTTCAACTTAGATTCTCTGAATCATTTCTAAGATAAAGGAAGTGGAAAGATTACAGACAAAAACAGTAACAATAATAGCATACACCTTAAGATCTTTTCTTTCAAAGGGGTTAGAGCCCCAGAACTCTGAATGAAAGGCACTTAAGCAACTTTGTCTTCCTGATCTAAAGTGGAAAATACAAGGAAGAAAAGACAATTCCCAGAAGCTTGGAGGTAAGACAGCATACCTGGGTTCCCAGTGTTATTGCAAAGGTTCTTTTGGCCTTGACAGATTTGGTTGTCTATATAAGAGGTGATAGTATTCCAGGCATTAATTCCTCCAGGACAGTTGACATCCTGTGGCAGTATCCTAAAGACAAACGTGGTCATAACATACAAAGTTGCTAAACTCACAGCATTGCCCCTCTTTGATTCTCTTCCCATACCCTTACTCACAGAGTCTGGAGCTGAGTAAAGCCACGGAAGGTGTTGGCCAAGTCACCTTTGAGAGGGTTTGCTTGCAGATCTCTGCAAATCACATACTGTCAGCACTTTCCCATCAACCTACACTATATTAGCCTTTTGGGTGGGAGGTGTCTAACTACTTACATGATGATAGTGGTATGTGCCTGATGAAAGTCTGGACCAGGGTCCTCCAGAGAACAGTTCTGGAGATCCAGCCTGAGGACACAAAGTAATCAACATAACTGTGTGTTACTCTTTATCTTCATCCATAGCAGTTTGTATTTGACTACACAACCCCCTTTTCAGCTAATAGTAATTGAACACAGCTGTGTTCAGACTCACACACTAGGTGCTGTGGTAGACATTTTAATCCTGCATTATCTAATAGAGTCACCACTTGCCACATGTAGCTACTTAAATTTAAATTAATATAATCTTAGGCGGAGTGTAGTGGCTCACTCCTTAATTCCAGTACTTTGGGAGGCCAGTGCAGGGGGATCACTTAAGCCTAGGAATTTGAGACCAGCCTGAGCAATATAGTGAGACGCTGACTCTATAAAGAAAAATTAACCTAAAAATTGACTGTCTCATTTGCACTAGCCATATTTCAAGTGCAAATGGAATAACCACGTTAGTGGCTACTCTACTGGTTAGCACAGATATGGAATATTTCCATAATCACAGAAAGTTCTATTGGCCAGCAATGTTCTAATAGGTTATGCATCTACTGGGAGAATTGTGTTTATTGTCTATATTAGTGAATTTCATATTATGATTTTCAGATCCACAGAGGGCCTTTAAATTAAAAAAAACACAAGTCACATAAATGAAATTTTTTCCACATGTATTTTCTACCACAGATTGCTTGTAAACTGTTGGATATTAAGGATCATGCCACACTTTTTCTTCACTATCTACTGCTGTCAATTCCTTTATTCTAAAAATATTTACTGAGTGCCTACAAACTGCAAACACTGGGGGAATGTTAAAAATATATAACACAGTATCTTAGACTTCTGAGTGGTTTGCAATGTGGTTATGGAAACAAGACCACTGCCCAAAATAAAAACACTGTATATATTAAATTACAATATGAAAGAAACCACAGGACAGTGTATAAAATATATACTAAAGATTACAGGAAGTTTAAAAAAAGTATTAATCAGGATTTTAATAGTAGTAGAAAATATTCACAAAAGATGTTGGAATTGAAGGATGGATATGTCCTAATTTGGTGGAGGAAGGCAATTTCAGGTATGGTGCGAGGCTTGAACAACAGTAGAATGCCTTTGAGGGTAGGCAAATCTGGTTGGCGCCAGACCCCTTATGGAGGTTTCAGTGGACAAGTAATTGGAAATAATGTTGGAGAAGTGGGTTGGGACTAGTCTATGGTAGTTCATGGTTTGAATTTTATCCTGAGAGCAACAAACAGTTACCTAAATATAGTATTAAAGCAAGAGAGCGATAATGGAAAATGTTGGTTTTCTGAAAGCTTAATATAGAAAAGTATTTAGGTAGATTAAGGAAGAAGAGAATGGAAGCAAAACACAACATTTTTAGTTTGAAGTTAGGGTGCACTTAGTAGGAAATGTTTAATAGGAAGAGCAAGAGGTACCCATATGTACCTGGGGTGTGGAAAGGTAAAAAGACCCTAAAGAGATCTAGTTTTGGTAGACACCTGCTTGATGGTTACAGCTGAAATAATAATAGGTGGATTCTCAAAATAATATAAGGGTAGAAAAGCAGCCAGCCTAAGGAATGGCCTGTATCCAATATCCAGGGATGTCTTCTCCCTCACCCCAAGATGGTGCCATTCTGATTCAGGCAGCAACGGGCATGTAGCATTAGCTCTCGTGTCGTTTTACAATAAAGGGCCACTTTTGACAAATTTTGCACACTCCCTGGACATTGGGTGCATATCTGCAGAAGAGAAAGAAACATTAGAACTACAGAAAGAAAAGCCAAGAAAAGAACAAACGGGGATCAAGAATTAACTGCCAGTACACCTTTCAAGAATTCCTCTAACACGGGGCCGATAAATGGCTCGTGTCCTACCCTCATAACAGGCTAAACTAGGAGATGCCATTTCTTCCTCTAGAGTCCGGTGCCCAATCAGCTCCCCAGAGACTTTCAGTAATAGACATCGCCCAGGGGAAGGTCCTCATTTCTGAAAATTACTATTCGAACATATTTATTATGCCCTCTACAGAGACTTCTCAATCTGACAGCCTCAGTTTGTCCCGGTGTAAAAGGACCGCGGTAAAGAACCGTAAATAGCCGGGCGCGGTGGCTCAAGCCTGTAATCCCAGCACTTTGGGAGGCCGAGGCGGGTGGATCACGAGGTCAAGAGATCGAGACCATCCTGGTCAACA